ACCAGTTAATTCCTCTTTGAAATGACTTGGTGTCCTTCAGCTGACATTTTGGAGTGCCTAGGATGAGCTGGACCCTTGTTAATTCCCATATCAGTTCTGCAATTGAAATATCTCACAACCCTGAAAAGCATGGACTATTGACCCCCACTAATGATCTAAGGGACTAATGCTCAAGAAGCTCCTGTGACTCCCCAGCTTCTCCCCATTAGCTAGCACAGGGCTGGGATGTTGATGCTGTCTGGCTGCAGAGCCTTAACCCTCCCTGCTTCTGACACGTTCTGTTCTGTTTCCCGTGATACCGTCCCTGCCAGCTTGCTGCAGTCTTTTGGAAGGGACGAAGCCCCAGAAAGGGTGAGGCCTTGAGGGCAGCTTGGTGTGAAGTTACTCCGTTGGGCCTGGGGGGGTGGGGGGGGGCGTGTTACTTTCCTCTGTCTCTTAAAACACAGGGCCCATTTTAGCCACTCCCCATCAGAAACAGGGTCTAATGCAGCTGCAAGTAGTGTCACTTCAGGCCCTAAGGAGTCTCTCCTCCCTTCCTGGGCCAGAGAGGGTGGCGCATCTTCCAGGTCACCACTGGAGGCTCCAGCCGAGTGCCCTGATAGAGAAAAAGCTTTGAATTCAGAGACGCCTGCCCCATTATTCTTCATCACATCACCGTGTCGTTTTCCCATCTATAATGATTGTAGTTATTAATTTACTTGTTTGCTTTTAATTTCCCCACCTGAGCAAGCCCTGAGGGTAGGGACCTTGTTTCTCCATTTTTTTTTTATTTCCATCATCTAGTATGATAGCTAGCCACAGGAAGTGATAAATAGATTTTCAGTGAATGAATGAATCAAATGAGAAACAGCTGTCTTCAATCCTGGCTTTACCATTTAAAACCTTTGTGACTTCCAGCAAGTTATTTACTTTTTCTGCAAAATGGACTCACAATGGTGGTTTCATAGGACTATCAAGAAATTTAGAGACAACATGTAGCGCTGCTCAACACAGGTACCCCCCACATCCTCCTCCTTGATATAGCTGTTAATTAGCACCTTGATTTGGTCGGGGGGGTGGGGGGACAGGGTTTTATTTAGATCTTTTCCATCCCTGGGACGCGTCGATATGCCAGAACCTGCCAGCAGGACCACCGCATGAATCCGCCCGAGCTGCTGTAGGAACAGTGGCCAGCTCCAATTAGAAAGCCCTGCCGAGGAGCTGAAGGTTTTGAGGTTAACCCTGAAGAAGCAGCTCCCTTTACAAGAGCCTTTTAATTAAGTGCTTGCATTTACTTTCCAGAGTTCATTGAATCATTTTACTCACATTGTGTTTGACAGAGCTTCGTTGCTTCAAGTAATGGAAAAGTAGAGGATGAAGAGGCTTCACAGAAGCTGTCAGATGTCACAGGCACTGCTGCTTCTGTGCCCAGAGATGGGGACCTGGCATTTGGGAGGAGGGGGCCAGTGAAGCATTGCCTGGTCTCTCCCTTTGGTGTGGTTCTTGAGCTTGCAGAAACCCCCAGTGCTGATTAAGGGCCAGAGTCCACCCAAATGCCAAGAAATGAGTTCTGTGGAATTCTGGCGCACGGGGGCTGTGTGGGGCTGCGTTGTGTGCAGCATGGCCCTGCCCTCACAGAGACAGGATTCACACAGAAAACACGATTGGGATGCTTTTATGTTGAGCCGGGCTGTAATGATTATAAAACAAGAGCTACCATTTGTTCTTTGCTTACTATATCCAGGGTCCTTTAAATATGTTTTTCACTTGGTCCTGCTGACTGAGGATTAGCAACCAGGACGAGTCCACTCTGTCCACAGTGATTTTTCTGAGCAGGGGCCAGATTTGGCCTCTGGGGACCAGCTCCTGGTTGGGATGCAGCGTTTCAGTCTCCGTTGGTGACTTCGTTCCCTTCCCTGCCAAAAACAAAATGAAAGGGTGTGCCAGTGCTTAGCACACAGTAAGTCCTTCTCTGTCTTTGCTTGTACCCTTCCTCCCCCATCATTGCAGCTTAGTGAGGTCACCTTTGAGATGGGCCTCCATCTTGCACAGGGCGGTCACCCCCTGACCCCAGCTGAAAAGCCAAACTCAACAAGATTTTCAGACCTTTGTCAGCATTCAAGCACAGGGCTTGAGGAGGGCTTCTCCCACCTTGGTACCCTGGGGGTTGGGAGGCTGCCTGGTGATGGGGGACACCTGGGTTGTCTGGTCTCTGGAGCCGTGGCAGCCTCATGGGGCGGGCCCGGCAGGCTGGGTTTTCACAGCCCTCCAAGGTGATCCTGATGCTGGTCAAGTGCAAGAACCACTGGGCCAGGTTCTTAAACTTGCCTGCATGTCAGAATCGCCTGGAACAGTGTTGTGGTTTTTAAAAACGTATTATTACTTAATATTGAAATGTAGTCTTTAAAATAAAATCCACTTTTTAAACTGTTTTTGACTTATAGAGAAATTTGGAAGATAATACAGAGAGTTCTTACATAACCACACCTGGCTTCTCCTATTACTAATACCTTATATGAGTCTGGGTATTTGTTACTGTTGATGAACCGGTACTGACATTACTGTTGGTAAAAGTCCACACATTAGCCAGGTTTCTGTAGTCGTCATCCAATGCCTGCTCCAGAGTCCTCTCCAGGATCCCACATTACAGCGAGTCCTCATGCCTCCTCTGGTCCTTCTGGGCTGTGACAGTTTCTCAGACTTTCCTGGTTTTTAATAATCGTCACAGTTTTGAAGTGTACTGATTAGGTATTTTGTAGAATGTCCCTCAATTTGGATTTGTTTGATGGGGCTCTCATGATGAGGGTGTTTTTAGAGATCTTAGTTATATATTTTTAGAGAGTGGGAGAGGGAGGGAGAAAGAAAGGGACAGAAACACTGATCAGTTGCCTCTTGGATACACCCCAACTGGGGACTGAACCTGTAACTAGGCATGTGCCCTGACCTGGAATTGAACTGGCAACCTTTCACTTTGCAGGACCACAACCAGCCAGCTGAGTTGCACCGGCCAGGGCTCATGATATGTGTGTTTGAGAGGAAGACCACAGAGGCGGAGTGCCATTCTCCTCACATCATAATCAAGAGTGCATGCCATCACCGTGCCTTATCACTGTTCATGTTGACCTTGGTCACCTGGCTGAGGGGGCTTTGGCTTCTCCATCTGCCCCAGTCAGGGTTGCCCACTCTCAGTTACCCTCTGCCCCCAACCTCCTATACTGTACTGTTTGGAAGGAAGTTACTCTACGCAGCCCACACTTGGAGTGCGGGGAGTTAATGTTCCTCTTCCTTGAAGGCAGAGTGTCTGCATAAAGTATTTGGCATTCTTGTGCATGGGAGAATTGTCTCTTCTCTCACATTTATTCATTTGTTCCATTATTTATTTATGTCACTATGGACTCGTGGATCTTGATTTTATACTTTGAGTTACAGTGTGATGATACTGCTTTATTTTGTTGCTCATATTGTTTTATCATTGGTGATTAGGAGCTCTTTCAGTTGGTTCCTGTGTCCTTTTAGCATACCCCATCATTGTAAGGTAATTTAAAATTTTTTTAGTGCTTCCTTCCTTTCAGCCACTATAAGCCTATCTGATAGGTTTCCTACCTCAGTCCTAGAATCAGCCATTTCCCAGGGAGTCCAGGTTCCTTTTATTGGGAGGGTGTCAGAGACCAAGGTCTGGGCCCTGGGAATGCTTGCTGCCATTGGCATGTCATTGATTCTGGACCCTTTCTACTGACAGAGTGAGAACGTACATGTGTCTGTATTAACCTGTGTACATACACTTATCTATAAATATCTGTGTAATTATCTGTAACTGTATTAAGCTAAACATGAACTCAAATTGATATCTTCAACTCTAATACATTATCACATGATTTATTCTAGCCTCCTCCCCTTGCTTGTCTGTGAAGTCTCACTCCAACAGTGAGAAACCTTGTTCTTACGATCTGCTGTCTACTTAACTGTTCAGTTCCAGCGTACATGTGTCGTGGTGTCAAATGTTTTAACTCCTGCTTGCCTCCATGGGAGTCAGCTCCGTCATCTAGACTGCAGTGCTTCTGTGCAGGCGACTTTGCCTGCAGTTCTACAGGCTCCACTCATTCCTAAGGTTTCCTAGGTCAGCACTTTCCCTTCCCCTTCAGTGAGGTGGTTTCGTACATTTGTAATCAAGTTAGATTCTTTTATCACACACTGCATTCTATCCTGAGAATCTCCCCATTTCTTCATTTTTAAAAATTTGCATGCTCTAAGGTACACTGTCTGTGCTATAACGTTCTTTGGGATTCAGTAAATGCATAATGTCTCGTATTCATCATCAAAGTGTCACACAGAATGGTTTCACTGCCCTCAAAAGATCTGTGTTTCACTTAATCCACCCTCTTCTTGTTCCACCTGGACCTGCTGTAACCACCGCCCTTTTCACTGTTTCTATACTTTTACCTTTTCTGAAATGTTATATAACTGGAATCATGCAATGTATGGGTTTTTCAGACTAGCTTCTTTCACCTAGCAATACACCTTTAAGATTCATTCATGTATTTTGGTGGTTGGATAACTAATTTCTTTTTATTGCTGAATAGTATTCTGTTGTATGAACGGACCACAATTTACTTGTCCATTTGCCTAGTAAAGGACATACTGGTTGCTTCCAGTATTTGGTGACTATGAGTAAAGTTTCCGGTGTTTCATTTGTTTGTTTTGTTTTGTGGCCATAAGTTTTCAAAGCAGTGGTTCCCTTTGCTGGAGGCAAAAGGAGCAGAAGCTGGGTGCCCCCAGGCAGACCTGTGGGGAAGGGGAATCAAGGGTCCCATGGGGCCCTTCTCAGAGAGCCCTCTCTGTGCTCTTCTGACTTTATAGATGTGGCAATTAAGACCTGGGCTCTTCCCCACGTGGAACAGAGGACACACGAGGGGTGTCGGCTACATCTGCCCCCTCCAGTGAACATCTGAACGGTCTCTGATCTCTCTCTTGCATAATTGTTCCTGTCTTGGTTTCTCACTTGGTTTATCTGCTCTTGGAAGGCTCTGCTCTGACCAACGGGGGATTAAACACGCACAGCCCGGTGAAGAGGAAGCTGGAAACGGAGAAGGACTACGTCTTTGACAAGAGGCTCAGGTACAGCGTCCGCCAGAATGAAAGCAACTGTCGGTTTCGGGACATTGTCGTGCGGAAGGAAGAGGGGTTCACACATATCCTGCTGTCCAGTCAGACCTCAGACAACAACGCGCTGACCCCCGAGGTGAGGGGGCAGGACCGGAGGGGAGGGTCAGGCTGGGGAGGGCCTCTCATTCATCAGATGGGGGTGCTGGCTTCCCTTTGCTCCTCCAGGGAGCTGGTGAGAAGAGCCAGTGTGCACACACACACTTGGCTACAGGACACAGTTTGCTCATCCCTTTACTTGCACTATCCATTTGATCTTTATGACCAGGTAACTGTATTATCGTCCCACTTACAGAGGAAGACCCTGGAAAACGGAGACATCCAGTCAGCGGGTCGGGACTTAGTCAGGAGAGGCCCCAGGGTCCAAACACGGTATCTTGGGCTTTTCGAGCTAGGCTGCATTATAGTAAGCAAGTCCAATTTCTTGGCTTTGGATGGAATTATATTCACTCAGCTCAGTTACTTTTTTTGAGATATAATCAACGTATATAATTCACATGCCATAAATTTCATCCTTTTAGAATGTACAATTCCGTGATTTTTAAGTATATTTACAAAGTTGTACAAGAGTCACCACTAATTCCAGAAACATTTCTATCACCCCAAATGGAAACCTGTACCCGTGAGCAGTCACTCCCATCCTCCCCTCCCCCCAGCCCCTGGCAGCCCCCCATCCACTTCCTGTCTCTGTGGATTTGCCTGTTCTGGGCATTTCATGTCGAGGGAATCACACAGCATGTGGCCTTCTGTGGCTGACTTCCTTCACTCAGCACAGTGGTTCTGAGGCTTATCTGTGTTGTGGCGTGTGCCTCTTCATTGTACGGATGGGTTACACCTTGTGAACTAGCTCTTCAGCTGGTGGAGCTGTGGGCCAGTTCCGCTTAGACTGCTCTGAACAGCATTGCTGTGAACATTTGTGTACAAGATTTTTTATGAACATACATTTTTAGTTTTCTGGGATCTCTACCTAATTGTGGAACTGATGGGTCATGAGGTAACTCTGTATTTAACTTTTGGAGGAACTGCCAAACTGTCTTCCACAGGTACTGTGCATTTTACACCTGTACCAGCAGTGTGTGGAGGATCTGATTTCTCCGCATCCTTGCTAACAACTCTTGAGAATGTGCCTTCTGTAGTACAGCCGTGCTGGGGGGTGTGTGGTGGGGTCTCGCTGTGGTTTGGATTTGCATTGTCCTGACGACTAATGATGTTGGGCATCTTTTCACACGTTTACTCATCATTTGTCTGTCTTCCAGCTCTGAAGAAATGCCTATTCCAATCCTTTTCCTATTTTTAAAATTGGGGTGTTTTTTATTTATTGAGTTTTTACTGTTCTTGATATATTCTGGATACTTACCCTTATCAGATATATAATTTGAAAATACCCCCACCCATTCTGTGGGTTGTCTTTCTACTCTCTAGTTAGTGTCTGTGGAGGTGTAAGGTTTAAAATTTTGATGAAGTCCAGTTTGTTTTTTTCCACAATACTTGTTTAATGCCAGTCACTGATGTCTTAGGTGAGTAGGCCAGGGGAACAATGACTACATAATGCAGTTAGGTAGACAGTATCATTCAAAACATGGGACACTTAGGAGGAGCAAAGAAGAACATTTTCTGAGAGGTGCTCAGCGGTGCGGGAAACACTCGTCCCGGCTGTCCTCCCGACTCGGACGACCTAGGGCAGGGCGGCGGCTTGGCGGATGACAGACATGGCAGCCGCACCAGCTGGCAGCGGCTCTTGGTGCCTTGTATCTGCTACTTATCCCGTTTCATCCCACCCGCACCCCTCTGATGTAGGATTGTTTTGATCCCCATCTTCACAGACGAGGAAGCAGGCTTAGAGATGCCGACAGGCCCAGGCTCACAGCCCGGCTTCAGGCTTCAGGAGGTCAGGGCGGTTGCTGCGTCTGCCCACCACTTTATTTCCCGTACTTGGCCCGGCATCTGGCCCATAGAATACAGTTAACTCCAGCCTCCCCCCACCCCTTTTCTCGTCCCTGCAGTAGTACCCTGCACTCTGATTTCCATCGTAGCAATGATGACATGGAGAGTTAACACTGGGGTGTGTGGGGGGCTGCAGTCAAGGAGTCAAGGAGTAGCTGCCCACCCAGACTGGGATTGCTGGATGGCCTGGCATTGCCCAGTGTAGCCAGTGCACCTGGGGAAGGCCCAGGAGGTGGGGTGGGGTGGGGTGGGAGGTGCTGTGTCCTTGAACTTGTAACCACATGTCTTATCATTATGATTTACATAGACTGGCTGTTTTATGAGATTGTGGGTGTGACCGTCAGGAATGATGCCAAGTATAGGAGAAGGGATGTGGCTCAAGCCTGTGCAGTTTCTGGGGCTTGTGGTTGCTTGTTGGCCCTCCCGTGAGCATGGCGTCCTGAGGCCTCTCCCCCCTCCACCTGTAGGAACCACCTCGGGGGTCTCTGCTGGGCAGGTTTCTGTGTGGGCTGCAGAGGAGTCCAGAGCTTGTGGTTCGCCCCGAAGGCTGCTCTTTACATGTTTATACACCTCAAAACCTTGTTATTTCAAGCTCACCATAAAACATCCACATGAGACCAATTTTTGGATTTTATTCTACTTCACTACTTTTTAAAAGCATGCTTTAAAAGACACAGCATTTTCCTTCAATTAATTGAATAAATGTGAGGACTCCCAGCTCGTTCTGTCTCTTCAGAGCAGCTTGGTTGTTAACTGTTGCCTGCCCGTCGTGCAGACTGTGCTGACTCCAGCTGATTTACGGTGCACGGGTTCTTACCTCCTGAGCGGTGAGCTTGGTTGACTAGGGGTCCACTCTGATCGGTGTCTGTTGGTAACAGAATGGTGGAAAAATACACTGTCCTGGAGATTTCATCTGTCTCAACAACCATCGTGCATTGACTGTATGCATAAGCTGGCTAACTGGGTGAAGTCGTCCCAAAAGACAGATGCCATTGAAATGAAGAGGAGGTGTTAGTGGAGGAATGCAGACCTGGGTTTTCGAATCCTGCCTCCACCAACTCACCATATCTGTCCCCTCCGGAAGTTACTTTGCCTCCCTGAGCTCCCTCATTTATAGAAGTTGTACAGCATCTTGCTTGTGGGATTAGAGATAATGTCTGCAGAGAGGCTTACTGAGTACTTGGCACACGGGAGGTATTCAGTGAATGTTGCTGTCATTGTTAAGATGAAACAGGCAATTTAACGGCCACCAGCAGACTCAGCCTTGCTCGCTGATGGAGGAACTGGGAGGGGCCCACCTTCATGGTCATAACTGAATTTCTTTTTCTAGTTGACATTGGCCTCATGGGCAGAAATTCATACATTACTGGGTTTGTTAACTAGATTCTGAGGCTAGTGTGTATGTTGTAATATTTCTCCTGTCTGGAATGTAGCAAAGAACCAGGAGGAGAATGAAAATGCCCCTCAAGGAAAGAGCCAGCGAAACAGATTGCCCAAAGTCTTGTTGATTCAAAGCTTATTTACTGCCCCATTAGGACAGGACCCCAAGGCCTCACTCCACTCCTGGCTTTCTCCAGCACTCAGCAGACGGTGCAACATGCCCAGGGAGCATGCCACACGTGCAGGAGTCATGCCTCATGCCCTCTTGGACAAACCCCCCCACCCCCCGCCACGGCCACACCATCTCCAAGGCCTGTTAACTTTAGTATCTTGAATAGCTCTCTTATGTGTTTCCTTCTCTCGGTTTCCTTCATAGCCCTTGCAGTCCAAACCACTGGGCTGTTGTAATAACCTGCTGACAAGTCTGCCCCCTTTCATGTTTCCTGCCCTTTAACCTGTGCTCTACGTGGTAGGCAGAGCAGTCTGCTGGAAGTGCTGATCCGATCAAGTCACCCTTTCTACACACAGGTACACAGGTGTCAGTAGCCCCCTATTGCTGTGCTTAAGAATCTAAACCCTTAAAGTGGCCTGCGGGGTTGGGCCTTCTGCCCTGCCCATCTCTCCAGCCCCATCATCCCTTACCACACATCACTCTTCTCCCCTCCTGCCCTCCAGTCACCCGGCCTTTTTTCCCTGCTCACAGCTGCCCCAGGGCCTTTGTACATGCCTATATTTCTGACTGAAACAGCCTTCTTTTCCTGCTTGCTTAGCTGACCTTTGCTCTTCATTCAGATCTCAGCTCAGCCATCCCTTCCGCAGGAGAGCCCTCCCTCACCTCCCTGACCAGGTCATGCCTCTCCTACGTATGCTTTGCTAGCACTGTGCGTCCCTCCCTGCTGGAACATGTTACAGTTGTTAGTGTACGTGTGATCATGTGATGATTTGTTAAATGTCTAATCCCCCATTAGACATTTAAACAACTTCTAGAAGGTTAGATACTGTGCTATTCGCTCAATGTATTTAAATTCTATTATGTGTAAATATCTAGACTAGGTGTTACAAGGGTTATTCAGATGAGTAGAATACTATTTTAGCTCTTAAGGGGTTGTATTAATCTGTTACTGTGTACTGCATTGCCCTAAATATAGCATCTTAAGACAACAAACATTTACAGTCTCACAGTTTCTGTGGGTCAGGAGTCTAGTCCTGGCTTAGCTGATGCTTCTGGTCAGGGTGTCTCACAGGCCTGCAGTCAGGGTGTTGGCTGGGGCTGCAGCCTCAACTGCAGGCTCAGCGGAGGGGGATCCACCTGCAAGCTCACCCAGTGGCTGCTGGCGGGGCTCAGGTCCTCACCAGCCAGAGGCATCAGCGCCTTGCCCCATGGCTTCCCTCCATGGTCTTCCGAGCAGCCTCTCCCTGGAGCTGCTCATGGCCTGCCTGCTTGCTTCCCCCAGACCGAGAGCTCCAAGAAAGGGAGATGGCAAAAGGAGATAGCCAGGCCAAGCTAAGTACTTTTGTATCCTAATCTCTTGAAAGGGGCATCCCATTGCTTTGCCATGTTCTCGCGGTTAGAAGTGAGTCACGAGGCCCAGTCTACTACACTCAAGGGCTGGGGGTCACACGAGGGCGTGAATACCAGAGAAGAGATTGTCGCGGGCCACCCTGCCATGGGTCCTGAAGTTAGGTAGGAGGAGGATGAGGCACGAGGCACACATCCACGGGGAGTCTGTCCGCAGAGTCAGAGCAGGGGTTCTAAATGTGCCGGGTGTCAGGAGCAGGAGCGGTTTGCGTTTGCTTGGGGATGTTTGGGAGGGACTTCCTGGAGGCAGTTGCGGCTGAGGCAGGCCCTGGGTGACTGAGTTCAGCAAGTAAAGATGAAGTGGAGAGAGGGACCCTGGTTTCCTCCCGTTTTACACCCACTTCCAGTGCATTTTGTTCTCCGGTTCCAACAGATAAGAGGCTAGAAGTAGCAGGGGAGGATGGTGCTTTCTCTTGTAGACACTAAAGGCAGGAGCAAGCGGCAGCTTGTGTGCATGCAACAAGGGCAGTAATTCTCCCAAACGGGTTCAGGACTTGGACGTGCAGAGTGGTCTGGGAGCATTTGTTCTAGAGACAGACAGACCCCCGGAACCCCTGAGGAGACTGGTCTGTCACAGGCTGGCAGGTGACCTTTGAGAGGTAGTGACATGCATGCAGTGTATTCTGTTTAAGAAGGTAAAGCGGTGTAATAGTTTTAGTCATTTTACTCTAAACAAACCAGTTACATTATAAAATCTGGGGTCCTCTGAGAAGGTCAGACCCTCAGCCATCAGTGCAAATTGGTTATCAAAATGAGACAGGCAAAGGCACAGTATACTCCCTAGATAGAATTTACTTTCAAGTTAAAAATGCAGTGTGAACGTTTGTTGCATCAACAAAACACAGATTTGCCAGTGGCTGTTTTTGATTTTGTTTTATTAACTGACAGATGAGCATGACCTCAGAGAGGGCGGCCATGCTCTGAGTGGTGTAGGGTCCCCTCGGACCACTGGCTTCCTTTTATTTGCCTCTCAGGGAAACAGAGCCCTCGCAGGGGTGAGACTGTCTGTTTCTGGATGTGGGCAGATGAGAGGACCCTCGAGACAGTGGCCTGTCAGCTTTTTGGTGTTTGAGAGGAGTCTCTGTGGCTTATGCCCAGTTAGAGTGGGAGGCACTTGTCCCGTCCTTCTCACAGAGCACAGGCCGGGAGAGTCTCCCTTCAGATGGACATCTGTCCCTGTTTTGTCCACTAAAATCCGTCCATTTTTCCAGCCAACCTACAGTATGGAACAGTTAAAGGAGAAGGGACATAGGGGTGAGATTTGCATGGTGGTTCTGCCTGTTACTGGGGACCTTGGGTGACTTACTTCACTTGCCTGAATTTTCATTGCTTCACCTACAACTTACAGTACCATTCTCTATCTTCCAGGATTCTTGTTTGGAATAAAATATTGTGTGTAAATTACCCTGGCACCTCTCAGTGCTTAGTGAGTGGGAGTTATTTAAAAAACAATACTTTGATAACATTTCGGACACAGTAGCCTATGATTACGCCTATTGAAGAACAATACTGATTCTTTAAAAGCCTATTCACTTATTGTCCCCTCCCCTCAAGGCTCTCTTGAGTACATGCCTTGTTTTCTCTTACCATCCACTTTCTGAGCTTATCATTGCTTTTCCCATAACTCCCATTGGACTGGGTGATTGAGCTCTCTTTAGTTCACCCCCTCGTTCATTGTAATCCATGATGTACTGTTAAGAAGTTACCCTGAAGTTATGTTCACATAGCAAAGCCTAGATGTCATTGTTACCTGTCCCCTCTCCCAGACACATAGCCGAGGCATGCTCCAGCTCTGGCCACCCTGTGTCTCCTCTGATGGAGTATTGTCGCCCGGGACCATGGATCTACCTCATGCACCTCCCGCCCTCAATTAGTCAGTATCAGTACGGTGATGTCTATAGTCAGTTCTTATATTGATTTATCAACACATTCACCTGTTTCTCTGCTGGCTATGACTCCTTGGCTGGCAGGGGTTTTGTTTACTTTTTTCTGAATATGGTTTTCTTCTTGAAGTCCATCCTTTTTTAGTCCTTTCAGTGAGAGTCTAAGAGTGGTAAACATTCTTTTATTGAAAATGCCCAATATTTATCCTTGTGTTTGAATGATAGTTTAGCTAGACACAGAATTTACATTTGACAGTTAGTTTCCTGGCACCTTGAACATCTTGTGGGTCTGATGCCAGAGCCCACTTCCCACCTGCAAGCTGTGTGAGGGTCTTTGTTGCATTAAGCCTGAACAAGAGTATAGAATTATGTTGGCCTTCTAGAGATAGCTAACGTAACTCACCTGGGCTGCACGCAGGCAGGACTTTCCCCCTCACCTTGACACGGGCGAAACAAACAAATGTGGAAAGATTTGCATGGTTACCAGGGATTAAAAGACCTCCAGGTTTGCAGCCAGTGACCCCTCTGCCACCTTCCTTCGCTGCCTGCTTCGGAGAGGATGGAGGGGAGCTCTGGTTTCTGTGTTTCTTTGGTAGGTCTGGACATGGCTCGTATTCAGGGGAGGCTCCGTGCACAGGCAGAGCAGGTTTACTCACGTCTGCACCCAGCCTCCTGATAGACATGTAACATCTCTGCAAACTCATCTCTGCCCGCAGATCATGAAGGAGGTCCGGCGAGCTCTCTGCAACGCGGCCACGGACGACAGCAAACTGCTGCTCCTCAGTGCCGTGGGCAGCGTGTTCTGCAGCGGCCTGGATTACTCCTACCTAATTGGCCGGTTGTCCAGCGACCGGCGGAAGGAAAGTACCCGCATTGCAGAATCCATCAGGTGAGCTCAGTTTGTATCCGCACACTAGGGGACCTGCCTAGGATTGCCAAATTGGGCACATAAAAATACAGGGTGCTCAGCGAAACTCTTTAAACAACTAATAATTTTCTTTTAGCATGATTATGTCCCATGCCACCTTTGGGATATACTTACACTAAAAAATTATTGGTTGTTTATCTGAAACTTGGAGTTTAATTGGGCACCCTGTATTTTCCTGCCTGAATTAGGGATGCCTTTGCTCACTAGGTAAGATTGCATTTAATTCTTTTGATCCCCAAAGGATTTTATTTCCTTAGATTAAGCCCAGCATCTAGTAATGCCCATGTGTCGTCTGCTCTTCTCCTGCCCTCTGTCTGATAGTGAAATCTCCAGTTTTCTGGGAATTTCTGTTTCTGGAGCTGACATGGCTCCGCACTGGGAAGGCTGATGGAGGGGCTCCCTGGGTAGCTGTGCACTTGTGGACCCAACAGGGTGGGGAGTGTTTGCCCTCCTCTTGTTGGCTTTGGGGCAAAAGTTGGGATCCTGGGGTGACATCTGATCCCAACAATCAGTATCTTTTTTGGGATACTAAAGGGTCGTTATTTCCCCACTCTTTATAGATTTATCGAAAGCCAGTGAGCTCATGTGATTCCTAGCAAAGGCTGGCACTGTCCTCCACCCCGGGGAGCACTCGCATGCTCACTACTGCACGTGCAGAGTGCTCAGATGAGAGTCACAGTTCAGTAAAGTGGCCCGGTCTCCTGAAACAGAGCACATTTCCACAGGGTGTCAGGGAGCCTCGGGCCACAGGTCAGAGATCTTCCAGGCCCTCCCACCTCACTGCGCTGTGACACGGTTGCACAGAGGCCGATTCCCATGTGGCTGTGGGAGGCTTCCAGGGGGTGCAGAGTCTCTAAGAGATGACACAGGGTCTCCAAGAGGTGACCTCACCTGTGGGGTTCTGAGTTCCAGTTCGGGGTGATGCACCCGCTGGAGTCTGCGCTCCAAAACACCTGTGTGCTTCCTGCTGCGGAACTCTTGCCAAAAGAGACATGGAAAGTCCAAAAACTGTTAGTGGACAAGGTACCCCTGTCCTGGGCTTCATGCAGCTCTTGGGCTCCCTGGGTGCAGACGGCCCTGGCCGTGTCCACAGTGCTCTGTCCTCTGCTCTGACTCAGCTGCTTTGTCACGTGGTGGTGGGAGCAGCAGGGTCCCCGGTAAGCTTCCTTCCTTGTTTATGGGACCATCAGAGATGGGGGCCCATCTCTGCAGCTGAGGAACTCCTTGACTGTAGCCTTCGGCTGGTTTCTGAATTTCTGTGGAGGCACTGGCTGGATTTCCAGAGGCCCCAAATTTAAGGGGATGCTCAGCACATTAGCTCACCTCTGGAGAAACTCGGCCTGTGGAATTCAGAGATTTGCCGTCTCATCAGGAAGGTGAGTTTCTCTTAGCAGAGTGGAGGGAGAGATGGCCAAGGGGATTCTTCCAGATGCTTCAAAGGGAGTGGAAGTTTGTAGTGCGTAAGCTGCCTGGGACACAGGAGGGAGGGGGAATGGGGATGTCCCCTGGACTGCTGGTTCTCAGCTCCAACAGCAAAGAGACTCCTCAGGGAGCTTTTCAAATCCCAGCTGCTTGGCAGCACTCCCAGGAGATTCTGAATTAATGAGCATGGGGTGGGGCCAGCACATCTTTGGTTTTAAAGTTTCCTCCATTGTTCAAATATGCAGCCAGGGTTGAGGTCCTTATTTTTATGCGAGAGCAGAAAGGTGGCTGTAAGAGAAGAGGGTGAAGAGGAAGGTGACAGAAGGGACAAGAGAGGGTGAGGAGCTTCAAGAGAGGATGGATGGGATGCAGACGGGATGGCCTTGCAGAGCAGTGTGCCCACGGGTCAGACAGTGACCGTGGCTTGTTCACCATCACCAAATTTAGGGAGGCCCCTGCTGCACCAACTTTGCAGTGTTCCCTCCAGCAGCCACAACTCCAGGGTTTGGGACCCGATGTGGCAGAGAAGCATTTCCCAGAGAACATTCTGCAGATTTCCAGGGAGGCATCATGAGCAAAAGGCACTGTCGATAACTGAGTTTGGGCCACGCCGGAAGTTCTGTCCCCACTCGTGCAGATTTTCCAGGCATATCAACACTCTGAGGAGTTTCTTGGGAAAGGACTTTGTTAAATATGGAGCATGGCCAAAACATAGTTTATCCGTAGAACCTTATAACCTACTGACATCCCTTGAAATTCTCTTGGGACATGCATACTCTCAGCTGGGCTGACCCCCAGGATCCAAGCACACCACATGGCCACTGGCCACCACTCCCACCCACCCTCACCCTCATCGTTTCCTAAATAAAGCATGTGGGTGCATGACCCGGTACACTGCGTTCACTCTGCAGATGTTTGTGAAATGAACTAGAAGATGTGGGAAGAGCTCAAATGATTCATTCAGCAGAAGTCTCTCTCCAGGACCCAAACAAAGCTGTCTGCCCCACCCTGAAAGAGGGGCCGCCCTCACCTGAACTCCTCATAGGCGATGCAAAGGCCCATTGGCAGATTGCTAGGACAAGGAGTAATCCGATAACCCACGTGGAATACTTGGCCTGTTATTGGCACATATGTCCTTAGAATAGATGTAAAGAATTATTTTTATGTTACTCCCAGCCACAAATTTTAGCTAAGCCTGGGTCAGATGAAGGAGTGGGCCCCTAGAGTGCCCCTCTGGGGGCCCCAGGATGACCATCAGCTCGTGTATCTGATGCTCACAGCTGACTTGGCTCTGAACTCTGGCAGTGGGAGGGCTCTGGTTAAAAAGAATGAATAGCTGGGGCACAGAAGAAGTGCCATTTGCTCCTGGTGAAATCCAGACACCCCAATGAACAGAATTTTGCTTCTGAGTCTCCTTTAGGTCAGGAGAGTGGCTCACAGGCCACTCAAAGTGGAATGAAAGCTGTGTCCACCCTCCCAGCAGCACTCGTGGGCTCCCCTGTGTCAGGCGCTGTGCTGGTGCCCTGGGTGGATCATCTCACGTAATTCTCAGGTGGCCTGTGGGGGCATGCCACTGGCTTCCCCATTTTCCAAGGGGGAAAACGAGGCTGCAGTAACTCCTCCAAGATCTCCCCGCTAGTTAGGGGCAGAGTTGAGACTTGACCCCAAATCTTTCAGACTCCAAAGTTCCTGGTCCTTCTGAGCATCAGAACAGTCTAGCAGCTCTGGCCAGCAGAAGCCTCAGGATCCAGGCTGAGTGGAGGAAGCTTCAGGGTCCAGGGTCAGCGTGGCACACTTGGCTGTGGGGGGAGAGGGGAGCCATCGCCCCAGTGCAGCCCCACCACCGGAGTCAGGATCAGATATCTGAGCAGCAGCGTCTGTAATGCAATATCCTGTTTGCTATCTGGCTTCTACATCCTCTGGGCCCTTGTGATAGAGATCTGCTCGAGGTGAGAGGACAAGGATGGGGAGACGGTCTGTGCATCATCTTTTTATATCAAGGAAATGAACTGCTTGGACTGCCGGAGCTGGGGGAGGGTTGGAGCCTTGGGAACTCAGTCCCCTTAGCCCTCCTCCAGGTTCCTTGTTGCCACTGTACAGAGCTCAGGTTGGAAACCACAGAGTGAAAGGCTCAATGGGGTCTGGAAGGGGAAGCTTCCAGAAGGTCATGAGGGCTGAGGTAAATTCCTGAAGGACAGTCACATGGATGACAGAGCAGAGTGGATGTGAGTATCAGACAGACCCATAGGAGGTCACAACTGGATGGTGTCTGGGTAGGGAGTGACCCTCTTTATTGAAAATGTCCAACAGAGGCCAGAGATTGCATTCTCGGGATGCTGGTAGGGGGGAATTCTGTACCAAGTGGAAGGTTTGGTTCAGTGACTCTTGAAGTCCTTCTCTCTCTGAGATCCAGTGCCCGTTCCTAAGCGAGGGTCTTTAGGAATGGAACATCTGTCAAAAAGCACCCAAACCCTGTGTGTGGTTCCAAGGAATCCTGCAAAGAAGCTCCATGTCCCTACAGACTCCAAATTGCATTTGGTAAAAGCACTTGTTAAAACCAGTGACCGAGGCCATCACATTAGGAAATCAAGCCAGGAAATGGGCCTTGAACACCAGGAGGAGGGGGCCATGGTGCTAGCACTCCCTCTTTCAGCAGTATCCTTTTGGGGTCAGCTGCAGGGGGGCCAGCCATGGCAGCAATAACTCCGTCATCTACTCACAGTCACATGGGAGTCAGGAATTGTGATGCCTCAAGCCTGGGTCAAGGAGTGTAATTTCATGAAGACATATGGGTCATAAGTCACCTCAACCCCAGTGGAATTAAGAGGTCTTCTCACAATTGAATTCAGTCCCACCATATTACCATGATACCCACATATTTTGATAAGAACTGGGGGGAATGGTAACCATTGAGAAGGGATGAACCAGTTTGACATTTGTATTAGTTAATTACTAGCTGCTGTAACAAATAAACCCCAAGTACATACCATGGCTCAATTGTGGTAGAAATTACTTCTAGCATACGTACACCTAAAACAGATGTTACTCATCAGCCCATGGCTGTCCTCCAAGTGGCAACTCAGGAACCCAGATTCCCTCTGTCTTCTGAGATTGCCATGAAAGGGCTGGGAGGGCCACATGGTGGGAGGTTGCCATGCACCAGGCCTGAAAGTGTGTATGTGGTTTCCACTCACATTCCTTTGCCTGGCACTTGGTTACTTGGCCACAGCCAGTTGCAAGGGAGGCTGAGAAATGTGTTCTGGCAGTAGACTCTGGAAGAAGAGAGAAGGAGGGACCAGGCCTGGTGAAGAAATAGTATGTCAGTGCCACACATCTGCAGTCTTTGCTCTTATTCTGGGAAAATCCTGTATCTGTTTAACAGCTATTGACTGAGTATTAATTGCAATATGTATAGAGACCAAGCAATGCACAAGGCAGACCTATGGGTTTTCTTAAGGAGCTGTAGGGGAAGAGAATTCAAAAACAAGGAAGCAAGGAAGCGATTAGGATAACTGTAAATTGTAATAATGGTGATTTCCAAGAACTCTCAGAAGGTCCGTACAGCTCATGCACAGAGAGCAAGGGTGTGTGAGACGCAAGATAAGCCTGGAGAGGTGTGCAGAGGCTGGAGTTTGCATTTTATTCTTGTGAGTTCCCAGCAGGTTCCAGTCTGTCACCTGAGAATGATGAAGGGTGTGGGCTTTCCTAGACATCTTCCCTCCATGTCCAGATGAGTATTAAAATTGTATAAGTCTTAAATAGCAAGTAAGGGGGAGGCAAAAAGCATGAAAGGTAAAGGAAGTAGAGGTTATTTCGGGTGGCTCTGCATAATAGATAAGGATGCAGGCTGTAACCTTGCTCAGTGCAGAAGGTCAGGGAGATAAAATATTGCCTAACCCTGTAGCCATGATTCCAGATGCCTCGTGCCTCCGGGGGAGCCCAGCATCTTTCCCCGGTGTTGGTCAGAGTCACCCAGACACACAGACCCTTGTCAGTGTTTTAGAACCACCCTTGAGGCTCTGTCACCCCTTTAGGTGAAGCCAAACCAGACAATCCTGGTTTTGAAAGAAATCTTAGGTGGCAACGATCCCTGCCAGTGCCCACCATTGAAGCTTGAATTCTCACCCAGACTTACCACTGAGCCAAAATTATCCCCAGCAATGAGGAATTTGCACCTGCCACAGCCACCCACTCTGCCTTCGGCCAGTGCCTTTGGAGCATTCCCTCGCTCCTTGAGTTCCAATATGCCGCGTTATAACACTCTCCTTTCGGTTCTAGTTCTGGCTGTTTCTGGATCTCAACGTTCAGGTTGTATTCCTTGGGATATTTACAGTTTGTCAATATCCAGGGAGCAGAAGGACAGAGGGACTAGGGCAGTGTTGGCACAATGGGCATGACCTAGGGCCGGACATGTGGTCACCTCATTAAGTCCCTTCTGAAAATCTGGCACCAACCTCTGAGGGTGCCAGGCCTGTGCCAGCAGCTGAGTGGCCCAGCATCTGGGAGAACGAGACCCTTGCCTGCCACCCACTCTTCTCTGAGGCCCTGTAGGTGCCTCACAGCACCTGGAGAAGCTCTTTCAGCCTCAGTGCCATCAAAGGTGTCAAACGGTCTCTGTAGGCCTGGCCACCCATTAAAGAGGGTCTTCTCTTTTCCCCAGGGACTTTGTGAAGGCCTTTATCCAGTTTAAGAAGCCCATCGTGGTGGCGATCAACGGGCCTGCCCTAGGCCTGGGCGCCTCCATCCTGCCCCTGTGCGACATCGTGTGGGCCAGCGAGAAGGCCTGGTTTCAGACCCCCTACGCCACCATCCGCCTCACGCCTGCCGGCTGCTCCTCCTACACCTTCCCCCAGATCCTGGGTGTCGCACTGGTAAGCCTCCTCATGAGCAGGCAGAGCGGTGTTTGAGCAAAGTCCTAGAATCCTTTGTAGGCTGTGGTCAGACTCTGCACCAGTGGCCAGAAGCAAGTCTGGGCAGGGGTCAGTCCTAACAGCTCAGGAAGCACTCACTGGGGCCAGTGCTCGACAGCCATTAACACAGTTCATCCTCACCACAGCCCTGTAAGGTAGGACTGCTGTTATCCCCTCTTGACAGGTCTGGAGACTGAGAGTCAGGTTAAGTGAGTTGTCTAAGGTCACACAGTGGTAATGGAAATTGTGGAATGTGAACACAGAATCTGTGCTTTGAGCCCATGTGCTATCAAATGGAGCGCGCCTCTGATGAGTGAGTCTGAGATTAGCGCCACCAGGACCCGGGAGGGTGCAGTGAGTGTGGTTGGTCTAGTAGGTCTGCGAGGTAGCATCTGAGGTGGCTTCGATGCGGTGCAGGCTTCACCAGGGTCTGCTCGGGGCTGTTTGCCAGCTGCTCCCCAGTACTGCTGGGAGATTTCTGCCTATAGATGCTGGTGGTCCTGGGGGACCCCAGGAAACTACCAAAGAATCAGACACAGATGCCAGGGCCAAACCCCACAGGGAGCAGGTTGGAGGAGGCCCCCCGCAGCGGCACTGTGTGGAAGGATGGGAGCCCCAACCCACCGCTGCTGTGTGCGCTGCCCGTCTCTGATGGTGGCACGGCGGGAATAGCAACTGAGACCAGCGGGGGTTATCCTCGGCCCTCACACCCTCCACACCCTCTGGCACCACGTCTGTGCAGCAGGTCCGTGCAGCAGGGCCTCTGGGGGGACAGACAGGGCCATTCCGATCCAGCAGCTCTCTTGGGGCTGCTTTCCGAGACTCAGTCTCACTGGTGGCAGAAAAATGAGGCAGGCAGGGAGCCCAGGAAGCAAACACTGTCCCTTTGATCTCAGCCGCTGTGCTCTGCCCGAGCTCGGTGCCACTCCAGGTCCTCCCCGTGCTCTGTGGTCACAAAAATGTTAACGTTGTACAGCCGTATCTCTCTCTGTCTTTCATCTCAATCATTTCTGAAACTCCAAGAATGTGCTGATTGAGACAAGTTCTTGCGGACTGTGTCCTGTTTGGCTCCTACTACTGAGTTCCTTTTTCACATTTCTCCCGAGACAAAGGTGTTTCTAAATAAGTATAATGACATATACATTTGTCTTCTGACCTCTCATCAAATGCATGCTGTGGGCTATGACCGACCTGATCAATTTTCCTCCTCCGACACGAAAGATTGTCCTTTGGGTCATCATGACCTGTCAGTGACAACCAGAGCAAAGGGGGGGCTGCACATGGATGCAGAGGCTCAGAGAGCTGGGTGTTTCAGCGTCACTCTGAGAGCAGGAGAGCATCCACCGAGGGCAGGCGGATGGCATGTTGGGGAAGGGGTCGTCTGCCCTGTGCAGGAGGCAGGCACTCATCCTGAAAGAGACAAGGACCCTGTCCCATGCCATGACCATTATGTCCTAATTATCAGTGTAAGAGTCACCTGTTGGTGAGTTTCAGAGGTGACAGCACTGTACTCTGCCTGGGCCTAGGACCTCATCCATGTAGGTCCTCCCAGAACACGTGTGACAGCTGTGAACTTCAAAGCAAAAGGAAATTCTTTGGAGAGTGGGATGCAGAGGAGCCCTCAGAAGGTGGGGGGCATTTTCCACCTTTCAAGACTGGGCAGTGCCCATACACAGCCCTGGGCCTCTGGGTAAGACACTCCTCTCTCTGTTGCTCTTACAGTGTTATGCAAGACCTTTCTGGCTGCCAGTGATGGAAATGCTTTGACTTAAGGGTGGGGGGAGAATAATGATTTCCTTAACTGACAAGTGCAGAATTGGAATGTCCCCTGAGGGTGATGAGTCCAGGAATTCAAGAACTATCAGTACTCTTGTTCTCTGTTCCTTCCTTCTTTGTGGACCTGCTTGTCCCCAGAGTGGGGACACAGCAGTGGATGGCCCTGAGCTCCCTGACTTTAGCCTGCAACCAGCAAGGGAGAAAGATTCTTCCCCATCATCTCCAGTTTGGAAACCTCACAGAGAGCTTGCTTATCTAGGGAATGTCATCTGTCCAACCCCGGGCCAGTCGTCATGCAGCATGGAAACACAGCTGGAGTGCGTGCAGTATCCTGTGGGTCTGCTGCCAGACATGGTGGTGGTGGGGAAGGGCAGGGTATTGGGCAGATGAAACCGTAGTAGGTACATGGCTTAAATTACCTAATTTAATTAAAGCTTTGGACCCTCTGCTCAGAAAGATGCACATAGACACAGATATTTGCTTATAGTTCCCAAAGCTTATTGGACCCCGGTTATACTTAAACACAGCAAGCCCAGGCGTTGCTAACAGACACAAGAGGTGCTCTGGCCTCTCAGCCTTCCCCTGCCTTTGCTTTTTCAGGCCAACGAGATGCTCTTCTGTGGGCGGAAGCTCACTGCCCAGGAGGCGTGCAGCCGAGGGCTGGTGTCCCAGGTCTTCTGGCCAACCACGTTCAGCCAGGAGGTCATGTTGCGGGTCAAGGAGATGGCGTCCTGCAGTGCATTGGTGAGTTCCTGTGTCTTCTTGTGCTTGTCATTGCAATAGACCCATTTTGTAGGTGAGGGCAACGAGGCTGACAGGGACTAACTGACTTGCCAAGGGCCATGCAGGGAGTACATGAGAGGCCCTGTGTGATTTAACAGGTGCCTCATCTCTGTGTTGAGAGCTTAAGTCCAGCGGGAGATGGTCAGCATTATTAGGTATTCTCCATCATCTCCAGCTGAAAACCCTCACACAAGAGATTTATACTCTGGGGAAGAATGTACTGCCTTAAAAGAAAGTACTCAGCACTCCCAAAACACAAAACGTCTATGGTTTTCAAAGAAACAACAGGCAAAGGCAAAGGAGGGCGAAGTGTAGTGAGCCAGCCAGGAGACAAGAGAAAGCAGCCACACTGTCCCTGTAGTTCTCCTGCTCCCTGAGCACTTGGCACGTTCAGACATCACCGTTTGACTCTGAAGGCACACTGAAAAATAGACAAATAAATGACACCGCCTCAGAGGCACCGACTTTTAATTAAGTGTCGATTTTATCTCATAAAAGTCACTCCCTGCACACCATGGAAATATCCTGTTGAATGGTGGAGAGGAGGCTGCTCCTGCGACCCCAGGGCCGGCTGCGGAAATGAGAAAAGCGCTTTGGTAGAATAAGGCGGGGGGACTCTTTCTGTGCTGAGGTCATGGGGCCAGGCCTGTGTCCTCCCTCCCTTCTCCCTGTCTATCCCGAACCCCCACCCAGCTGTTGTGCCTCTCCTGATTCGACTCATCAGCCTGTACTGAGCACTTACTGTATGTAAGTGCCTCTCCCTGGCAGCCTAACTGTACCATTGATGATGATGGGTGGGGATGGTCCTGCATAATTGATAAACAGTTATTATGAAGTCTGTGTGGATTCCCTTTTAATGTTCCCAATGATTCTAGTGACCAACTCATCCCCATTTGCCTGGGACTCTCCTGGTTTTAGCACCAAAAAATCCCATGTTCCCAGGAAACCCCCTGGTCCTGGGCAAATGGGGATAGTGGATGACCCTAGAGGCAGCCTTATAAGCAGGCAGAAAATTTTTAAAATCTTTTCTTATTAAAATATGTTTGACATACAATATTATAGTAGTCTCAGGTATACAACATAGTACATTTCTACATTTCTATACTGTGTGATGTGATCATCACAGTAAGTCTAGTACCCGTCTGTCCACATATGAAGTTACTACAATATTACTGATGGTTCCCTGCACTATACACAACACCCCCTGACTTACTTATTTTATAACTGGGAGTTTGTACCTCTTATTCCCCTCCACCTTTCTCACCCACCTCCCTAGCCCTCCCTCTGGCAGCCATCAGTCTGTTCTTTGTATCTGTGAGTCCATTGCTGTTTTGTTTTGTTTGTCCTTTGGGTTTTATACTGTTTTTATTTTTCAATTAAAGTTGGCATTCAGTGTTGTTTTTATATTAGTTTTAGGTGTACAGCGTAGTGATTACACATTTATATGATTTTTGAAGTGATTCCTCTGATAACTTGAGTACCCACCTGGCACGTTGAACAGTTATTACAACAGTATTGACTGTATTTTCTATGCTGTACTTCACATCTCTCTGACTAGTTTGTGACTGCCAATTTGTGCTTCTTAATCCCGTCACATTTTCAACCCAGCCCCCACACCCCCTGCCACCTGCCAGCCATCAGTTTGTTCTCTGTATCTGGGAGTCAGTTTCTGTTGTTTGTTCATTTTATTCTTTAGATTTCACTTAGCATAGATACCCCTCTGTGTCCACATATGTCCTTGCAAGTGGTAAGATTTTATTCTTTTTATTGCTGAATAATATTCTGTGTGTGTGTGTGTACATCATCTTCGTTATCCATTCATTGATTGATGAAAACCTAGGTTGCTTTCATATTTTGGCTGTTTTAAATAATGCTGCAGTGAACATAGGGATGCATATATCTTTTTGAATTAGTGGTTCCTTTTCTTTGAATAGATGCCCAAATGTGGAATTGCTGGGTTGTGTGGTAGTTCTGTATTTAACTTTTTGGAGGAATCTCCATACTGTTTTCCATAGTGGCTACACTAATCTATACTCCAAGCAACAATGCATGAGGGTTCCCATTTCACCACATTCTCACCAACACTTAATCGTTGATTTTTTGACAAAAGCCATTCTGACTGGTGGGAAGTGATATCTTGTGGTTTTAATTCACATTTCTCTGATAATTAGTGACATTAAGCATCTTTTCAAATGTCTTTTGACCATCTGTAGGTCCTCTTTAGAGAAATGTCTCTTTGGGTCCTCTGCCCCTTTTTAATTGGATTGTTTGTTTTTTGGGTGGGGATGTTAAGCTGTTTGAGTTCCTTATATATTTTGAATATTAACCCCTTATCAGATGTATCATTTGGAAATATCTTCTTGTATTCAGTAGGTTGTCTTTTCATTTTGTCGATGGTTCTTTTTTTTTTTTTACTGTGCAAAAGCTTTTTAGTTTGATGTAGTTTCATTTGTTTACTGTTGCTTTTGTTGTCTTTGCTCAGGGAGACGTATCCAGAAAAAAATATCTAAGACTGATGTCGAAGAGTTTACTACCTATGTTTTCTTCTAGGAGTTTTATGGTATTGAGTTTATTTTTGTATATGGTGGAAGAAAGTGATTCATTCATATTCATTTTTTTTGCGTGTATTGATCTAGTTTCCCAAAAACCATTTATTGAAGAGACGGTCATTTCCCTATTATATATTCACCTCCCTTGCTGTAGAGTAATTAACCATATAATTGTGTGCCTATTTCTGACTCTCAATTCTGTTCCATTGATCTTTTTGTTTTTCTGCCATGCTATACTGTTTTGACTACTATAGCTTTGTAGTGTAGTTTGAAATCAGGGAGCATGATGCCTCTTACTTTGTTCTTGTTTCTCCACATTGGTTTGGCAATTTGGGCTCTTTTGTGGGTCTGTATAAAGTTTCGGATTATTGTTCTAGTTCTGTGAAAAATGTCATTGGTGTTTTTATAGAGGTTGCATTAAATCTGTAGATTGCTTTGGGTATTATGGGCCTTTTAAAAATATTAATCCTTCCAATTCATGAGCATGGTGTATCCTTCAATTTATTTGTGCCTTCTTCAATTTCTTTCATCAGTGTCTTAGAGTTTTCAGAATAAAGGTGTTTAATCTCCTTGGTTAAATTTATTCTTATGTACTTTATTTTTGATGCAATTATAAAAGGGATTATTTGCTAATGTATAGAAATGCATTACCTATTTCTGAATATTAATTTTGCATTCTGCAAGTTAACTGAATTCATTGATTAGTTCTAACAGTTTTTGGTGGGGTCTTCAGGGTTTTCTATATACAACGTCAGGCCATCCACAAATGATGGTATGAGTTAGAGCAGAAGTCTGAGGACCCATAGGGAGGTTAGATGGCAACTCGTGGTGTGAGCAGGGGCACAGGGACAAAGTGAAAAGGAAGGTAGGAGGAAGGCCTCAGTGCTCCACTGAGGGGTTTGGTCTTTGGGCGATGGAGATTTTCAGGTGAAACCAGCTGTTAAAATAATATGGCAAGAAAACCTCTCCTGTCAACAGTTACGAATTCAGGAACTTTGCGTTGATTTGCCCAAGAAGGGAATTCTTGGGTGGAAAGAGGCAGTCTTAGTCTTCCCACCCATCCTCACCACCTGTTAGCCTTCCGCCCAGCCTGAAGAATAAGATCACTGCCTCTTTCTAGCCTGCTTGCGCAAGGGAGCTCTTGCCTTGCTTTTTTCTGTTTGAACATGCACCGGGAGAGTGTAAACTGAAGCTTTGACATCAGTAGAGGATGGTGGAGGCCAATGGAAGGGAGCTTGGAAGCTGCACTTCCCCGCAGAGCCTCTGCCAGAGTGAGGCGGCAGTGCAGCCTGTTAGAATCAGCCAGATGTTCGCACGCAACATCCGTCAGGCAGCTGTGGGCAGCTTTGCTTTACTGAGTGTAGGTCCTTCCTTTGTAATGTGGGGGCTGCCTGTTCATGGAGCTGTCATGAGCAGGAAAAGTACTTCTCATAGACCCTATTGTTTACTGGTGTTTGTAGTGGCATTGCTATTATTACTATATCACTACAATTGTTATTATTCATTACTATGATTATTATTACTGTGGTTATCACTGCATTATTAATATTACTGCTATAATTCCAGCGATACTACTATACTGTTATTAGTATTGTTACCATTGTCACTACTATATTACTAACATTACTATTACTCCTGTAATAATGTCACTATTATTAATGCTCTAATTACTGCTATAATGCTATAGTGTTAATATCATCACCATTATCACTACTATATTACTAACATTATCACTATTATTAGTCCTTTAATAACATTACTACTATTATTACTTCTATAGTACTGTAGTATTACTGTTATTGTTACTCTCACTGTTATCACTCATTGCTACAATCATTGTAATTATTATTACTCATTATTACAATGATTACTATGCTACTATTATTCCTACTGCTCTTACTACTAAACTTGAATGAGAGGCACTGCTGTTGGGGAAGCTCATATGGATGCTCAGACAACCATTAGTTCATTCATTATCTTACTCTGTGACCCCAGCCATCCTTGCCTTAGGTATCATTACTCTTACTTCACAGATAATGAAAATGAAGCACAGGGAGGTGAAGGTAGCCTTTCCTGAACTTTTTTATGACCCCCTTAGAAAATGATACTGAGTTTATGTCACCCTTGGGTAAAAGACAAAGCTCTTGTGGTTGGGGGTGACATGGGTCCCACTCAGCCATCCCAGGGACTGTGGGTTCACCCTCATGGCATGCCTGGAATCCATCCTGGCATGGCTGGGGACGTGGGCCTAGGCAGCCCCGGACTGCGGTGGGCAGCCTCCTCTGGCTTTGGACATTGCAAGGTCACCCAGTGCTGCATAGGCCAAGTACGTTCTTCTGGAGCGGAGCCTCTGGTGCCCAGCTAACCAGGCTCGTGCATTTCCCTGCAGGTGTTGGAGGAGTCCAAATGCCTTGTTCGGAGCTTCCTGAAATCAGTGCTTGAAGATGTGAATGAGAAAGAATGCGTCATGCTGAAGCAACTCTGGAGTTCCTCCAAAGGCCTGGATTCCTTGTTCAGCTACCTGCAGGACAAGATTTACGAAGTCTGAAGGGCCCCGGCTCACTCACCCCAGTGATCAAGGGCACCCGACCTCCAGCCTTGCCCTGGGTTCCAGAAATCGGAGCCCACTGTAAGCCCGGCCAAGGAGTTTGTCAAGGTGTCTCTATACCTAGGGTGTGTTCATTTCCTTGTCTTCTTTGGTTGTTCTTCATTGGTTTGGTTTTGTGTAACAGATGGAAACTGCAGCACACTTGGCCTCCCCCTTGTCCCTACCCCAACTGGCTAGAGAGCTATTGAGGGCTATATCTTCCCAGGCCTCTTCCAGGTACTGTTCTGTTCCCACTTGCTGAAATGCGCCATCCCGGTCCAGGGGAGGGGAAGACCAGTTTCCCTGTTTTTCTGACTCAGACTGTGTCTACACAGTGCCTCTGATTTGGAGACTTGGCTCTCATGGTCTCTGGTTAAGTGCAGATCTGGTAACGGGAGACAATCCATCTGGGGTGGTTTCCAGGCTGATGAGCGAAGCGCTGCGGGTAGAGCCAGCCTCAGTCTCCTCTCTGACGCAAATCTGTGTGACTCTGAGGGCCCGGTCTGAACGCCCAGCTGAGTGATTTACAAACCCAGATATTGTACATCTAGGAATGTTTTGTTAAATATATATTTTTAAAACAATGTAAGTGGAAATTCTGATAATTTATGTGTATTATATGTAAAGCTAGTTTTGCAAAACATAAACTCCTAGGAAAATGTTTTTTTTTTCTTTAATCAGACTTATTTAATTTATTTATTTTTGTTTATATATATTATGATATCTGTCATTCAAACAGATATTATTTTCATACTGCCCTGGACCAAATCCCGTACGAGGTTCGTGCTGTTTGGTGCATTCTAGCAGTGAACCATGTAGAGATAAAATTCAGAGAGATAAAAATGGAAGAATTTCCATGGATGAAAGGAATAGCTTGTACTAGATCCTCAGCTTGTAAAATGGTTCTCAAATGGAATATTTGTTCTGAGGAGAAACCTCGGAGGAGTTTTCTCTTCACTCTGCTGCCTTTAAGGAGGTAAAGGGGCCTCCAGCGTGATGGTACTGAGACATCCACAGTCCCCGACTGCGTGACACCAGGAAGGGGTGGGGAGTTGGCCTCACCTGGGGATTGCAAAGTGTCCAGAGTAAGACTTTCTTCTTTGGAGATGAATGACTGACCTTGGACTTCAGAGTCCACTCCGTCCATGTGGGCAGCCATGTCTGGTGTAGATTTCCAGGGAGGTGGGAGGTGTTCCCGCTCTGGTGGGCTGCCATTAGAAGGACTGAATTCTTCTGTGTCCTGAAGCTCAGGTGACCTATCTTTTTGTTAGCGGTTTGCTCACATCAGGAAGCAATAACCAGGGATGAGGTCTCCTGCTCTTGGGTCTCTGGGCTGCACAGGGACCCCAACATCTGAATTTAGACCGTCGACTCAAAAGTCTGTGGATTGGCTGTGGGACACGAGTGGTTTTGGTTTTGGTTGGTGAGGGGGAAGGTCAACATCAAAGTTAGAGCACTCAGAGAAAGATCCTCAGGGCAGCAGGGTTTTTCTATCGCATCACAACCCCTGAGTGTCCTCAGAGGCCCTTTGCTCACCCGCCCTCCCTTGCCCGGAGTTAGTCGCCAGTGTCTCTTGACCCTTCCTTGGAGAGAGTTGGGTGGAGCAGTGGGAGTTGGGCACAGCTGGGGCTGAGATGAGGAGGGTCATTGCTCCGACTGGTCATGTACCTCTCTCTCTGGTCCTCTTTTCTCTCTTAAAGGTGACCAGATGCAGTGGGCCAGGCAGATAGAAAGGACTCATGGTTCTGAGCTTTGTGTTTCAGAGGACACATTGAGTGTCTATACTATGGCTAGAGACATGGTCCTTTAGACAGTGAATCTGAAGTTAACCTGGACTCTTAATCCTTAAGATGGTCTTGGTTCCCTCTGTAGAAAGCCTTTCTACTTTGGACTTTCCTCCATGACTTCATGGGGCTTCTTCTACCTTCTTCCACCTCAGCCGTGTTGGCCGTGGGGAGCCAGCAGGGGCCACCCACCTTCGCTGAATGCAGCCAGAGGAAGATTGAAGACCTGTGTGCCGTCCCCTTTGTCCATGTGGGATCTGCAGGTACTGCAGACCTGGATGATGGGGGATTACTCTAGGGAAACCCCTGCTTTTGCCCAAATCCACTTTGATTTTGTCTCTTCCTGGGAGAAAGCAAATGTATACTTTCCCAAAGTCCCTAGACAAACCGCCTTCTTGTGCATTGCGGCAGATAATCGGTGCAGCATTGCCCAGTCCTCTAAAAAAAAGAGACCCCTGCTTTCTGTTTACTTTCCAGGGGCAGGGACATTTACCATAGGAGTAGTGTCAGAATTCTTGTTGGAGGGGGAAGAGAATGTTTGGAAGTTCCCTTCAATCAGTGTCTGTCTTGTTCCCTGTTGAAAGCACCAGAAATATTTTAGCTTTGGACATATCACAAATCCAAACTTCTTAACATTTCAAGGGTCTCTGATGATAAGATAGGAATGTGAGACTGTTACCAGGGTGGAGTTCCTGTTGTTAATTTGTAGACTCTGCTTATAACAGGAGGTGTTTCAAAAGACAGTCTGTATTTGGGTTGTTTCCACATAGTTCAGGAAGGATGCCCCACCAATTAGGCAGAAGTTGGCTAACTGTTACCTACAGGGTAGACTGAATCTCTGAATTTTTTACTTTCTGAGCAGTTGTTTGATAACGTGCAGATGAAATCCAGGTGACTTGTAGCAAATTGAGTTGGGATGGAAAATGCCAGACCTGTGGGGTGTCGGGATTTGTCCTCAGAGCCCTAGATCCTTGACAGAGGGCTCAGGCTTTCGCTTGTACTCTTCCGTCCCAGCACCGTCTCTTTACCCGTAGGACCCTTTCTTCACTCTGTCCCCTGCTCTGTCCCCACCCAACCCTTCCCCACCCCTGGGTCCATCGCTTCCTGGGCAGGTCTTTAAGGAATTGTGTCTGGTTTTAGCAGCCCCACCCCAGAATTACCTGTGGGGTTGGAAAAAGAGCTGTGGATGGGAAGTTAAGGGTACCTCTTTGGTCAAGGAACCTTCTCGGCCACAGGTGGCGAACACAAGTCCGGAGGGCCAAATCCAGCCCTCCACCTTGTTTCTACCTAGTAACAGAGCCGAGCTCTCGCTTAACTGTTAAGGAGTAGTTACATTTACACAGTCTTCAAATTACATTCGGCCCTTTGAAAGCAACTGCGAGGCTAAAATGGCCCCCAGTGAAAATGAGTTTGATACCCCTGTTCTAGGCAATCCACTCCTTGCCATCTTGTTAGCCACGCATTTGACCTCCCCTCCCCTCCCTGCTCGGATCCCTGGTGGTTAGTACCAGCATCTTGTAGTGGAACCTCTTGCGTTAACAGTTCCATTCCAAGAGGGCTTTTCGTAGAGCTTGCTAAAGTGGTCAGAGCTCTTCACCATTTGGAAGCCGCAGACTAATGCTGATGGCGTGCCCACGTGTCTCTTCTGGCTGTGGAGTAATGTCTGTGGGTAAACACCATCAAAAATTACCCTCTGAGGATGAAATTGGATAGCTATGAGAAGGTAGTAGAGAATTGATTTAAAATGTTATTCTTGTTTGGTTTAGATTAAACTAGGAAATGTTCTCTCTGAAGCATGAAAATATGTTTGTTTTCCATATAAAGTTTAGTATGAGGATGGCAAAATAATCACAATAGACTTTGATCAATGCAACTGTATCTCTGAATATCCACATTAAAGAAATAGCCTTGACTGAATGCCAAACTGCATTTCCCATTATTAATTGTTGGTTTAAAAAAATTTGTAAGCTTTTTAAAATTTGAAATTTAGTTACATTCATGCAATTTTATAGTCTAGCTTCTGTGGAATTTTTTTTTTAAACAAGGATAAACAAATAGAAACATCTTCAGATTTTCCTAAGTGAATATTTAAAATGCAGAATTGCTTCTCTTCTGTGTTTCTGTGTTCAGATACTTAGGTCTGTTGTATATATTAGTTCAGACACTCTCGCTAATATACACAGTATTTAAGACTCTAAATGAGATTTCTTAAGTATTTTATTTTATTCTCTGTAAATGGTTTTGTATAATCTTTAAAAAATCTACACTTTGCCTTTGTAGATATTTAAGGGAAACCATTTGGGGGTTGTCTTGCATGTATATTTTTGTTGTAGATATGTGTTGCTTAGTTATTTCTGCAAATTTTGGTTGAAATGCTTACAGACTTTAATACAGTATATATTTTCAGAATATAAACTTTTATATTTCTGTGATAAGTTAGAATATGCGTTTTAGGCAATCTTTTCCATTAATATCACTTGTTTTTGTTTTTTAAAAAATAGCATACTGGTTTGGTGCCAATGCGTTTCTTTTTTTTTTTTTTTTATCCCCATTAGATTCTAATGCTCTTATATTGTTAGAGAGCAGGTTAATTTTTTTTCTTAAAGTATAATTTGAAAATGTGTTGCTTTTGTGAATAAGCCTTACCATTAGGATCAGTAAATTTTCCAACCTTTGCAACTACATATGTAGTTTAAGATCTCCCCATAAATTCTCACTGTGTGGCAGTTGATGGAGTTTGTGAACAGAGCCTTAAGCTTGTTGCAAAAAAAAAAAGGGTAATACGGGTTGTTTCTTCCAAGCAGTGTGAGCCATGTTGGTGGACTCAATGCAGTCTGTAGGTCATGGCTTATTTAAAGAGTTTGGTTGAATTGATGGCCGCGGGGGCCAGAAAGGCACCTTGGTGATTGCCTTTGGCCATACACATGGACCAAGGACAGGTTTTCTGGAACCACCTTTGTACTATTCACATGGTTTAGACACGGTCACGGCGGGGGTTGCTGGTCCATCATTTGTTCTGAACAAATGGCATTTCCTGCTCCTGACCTTGGCGGTTGACCCCAGGTTTCTCAGAGGTGACTTGGAAAAATCCAGCCTGGCTGAGATCAGCATTCCTTGAGAGATGTTAATAAAGTTTACATGTGAGTCTTACTTGTGTAGACAATCTGAAGTCGATTTCGGTTACATCATCAGCATTCCCATGTGTCCTGAGCGTCTCATCCATGGACTGTGTGTGTTAAGCCATACCGAACCCGAGTTCAGCAGGGCAGAGGCCGACTGGGTGCACAACTACACCTCAGCTGAGCCAGCGTCCCCCGGGCTGTTTAGATGGAGCTCACCGGTGGTGTGCCCACCGTGTTTGGGACCTAATAAAACCAATGAAAATTTAGACTTAAATTTTCTTAAAATTATGATCCCTCTCAGTTGGTCACACTCCCATAGTTACCAGCTGATTTTCCTTACCTGCAAGGCTCTACAGATGATTCTGAGGCCAAGGCTACAGTATGGATACAGTATTTGGTTCCTCTTGAATAGCTTTCATAATCTGCCATTGGGATGGAAGTATGCTCAAAGGTTTGCAGTATGTAGCAGTCAGAACAACTGACGTCTGGTTTGCAGCTTCACCTCTGGCACCATCACGGTCGATCATTCCTTGTGAGCGCAACAGCTGGCCTGATGCTGGAGCTCAGTAAGGCGACTTGGGTGAGTTTGGAGGGTATAGTTTTCCATCTAGTATTTAATTTGTCCCTGTGCCATTAGTCCCAACTTGAAGTCATTTGCCGATGCCCACGTTGACTGGATTGTGGAAATATTGCCTTTCATAAAACCAAGGACCAAAGAATTTCATTATTTCAACAAAGCATGAGTTTTATAGACTGTAGGCACATCTAGACAGAGGTGTGCATGTTTCATGGCACAAAGAAGCTGCTCATGTCCATCAGCCTCACGCTGCCCTGGCTGGCCATGCACAGGGATGTGCTGTCACCTCGAGAAGGCTCTGAAAGATGAGTTTCTCAGATGGAAACTATCTCAGGTGGGTGTTTTTGCTGTGCAGTCCCAGCCTTTATCCATTATCACAGAAAGTGGAGGTCTGGCATTCTTCTAGGTTCTCTGACCAGTGTAGACGGCTCCATCTGAATAACAACCTCCAGTGGGAGTTTTTCAGATGCGCCTACACTGAGCAGCTGCCTTGCAATCGCTGAATTTCCACCTCCTTGTGTTCTACATCGACCCATTCCAATTCCTGTTTGACATGAGAAGGATTTTCTTCAGTTCTCACACCAGATGATGCTCCATTCTCATTCACGATGAAGTCATCGATCCGTTGACTGGTCGAGAAATGATTGATGCTGAAGAAGTGGTATTCTAGTGGTAAGGCTTATTACCAAACTGATAATGAAGCAGGCTACCAAAAACTTGTCCAGCCCACCCGAGGAGTGTTTGGGTTTGATCATGGATGTAGTGCACACACCAAAATCCAAGGAGACCTTTGCAAATTAGGCTACTCATTTTCTTTTGCCAGGTTGTCATGGGAGAGTCTTGAACTAGTTCAGAATATTTGTAAGTATGAGTATTCCATAGAATTATCAAGCAGGTACAGCTGACCCTTTCTCACCACATTGTAAATATTTCCTGAGACTGGGTGCAGTACTGGGGGATAATAATCTTCTGAGTTATCAAATGCTGACTGTCTAGAGCAAATTGTACACTCTCTTTGTGAATGGTCCTGTAACGTGTATGAACACATTTCTGGGTGCCTTAGAAGTTGTATTTTCATGTGTGCTAATATGCAGTATTTATACATTGTGAAAAGCTGCTTTGAATAAAAAGGTTGAAACTTTATCTGCATTTGCCTGTGTTCCCCCCTTTGCAGCCTGTGCATGAAATGCACAAACAGGGTCTGTGGTTTCTGAACAGAGAAAGTTTCTGGGGCCTCCGGGGGGTTGAGACACCTGATGCTTCTAGGTTGTGTCTGGGTTCCTGGGGAGCAGAGGCCTGCCCACCCACGTCTGGCTTGAGGCTTCAGTTATTCTGGCAGGTGGTCACTGGGTGGCAACAGCTTGATTCCAGAGGACCCTGAAATGGGGGGCACAGGACCTTTCTTTAGGAGATTGAAATGAGCATTCATTCCTTCCCCCGTGTGCCTGGGAGGTTTCCCTCCTCACTAGGGATAAACCTTCACTGAGTTTGAGCTTGTACAACCCCAGCTGCTACGTGTGACTAACAATGACATTCATCACTATGGAATTATGCAAAGTCCTTCCACCTGCATGACCTCATTGCTTGGATCATCACAACATGCTGAGGGCCCCTGGCTTCCAGAGCCGGACTTCTGAGACTCTGCGGGGGCTGCAGAAAGAGGAAGAAGGAGTCTTTCAGGAGTTCACGGCAACAGAGAATCCTGGGAAAGGGATTGAGCAAGATCATTGTCTGCCTGTCTGCCCGTCTGCCCGTCTGCCCATCTGCCCATCCACATCCAGCAGCTCTACTGAGCCGTCTGCCCTGTCTTGGGCAGTGCACAGCTGCAGAAAGGCACAGATTACTCAGTCCCTATTGTGAATGAGCTGGAGGTCTGGAATGTGAGAAAGGTAGGTAATCCTGCCATGATTCTCGAACTGCCCACACTGCAGTACTGGAGCAAACACCTTACACAACCCCAGACACCCTCAGTCTACAAGGTGGTGCACTTTAAAATTCTTCATCTCCCATCGAGTCACCTTGCAGCCCCTGTGGGCCAGCTGATCTTGGCTGGAGCCCAGGGTCTTCTCTCTGCTGGCCTCCATTTCCTTTTCCTTCCTGTGGTTCTTGGTGTCACCACTGTTGCAATGTTGTCATTTCTTGTGCCTCTTTGCCCTTTCTCCAGAGTACTGAATCCATCCTAAGTGGTCAAGATCACACTTGGAATGTCCTTTGCTCCTAATTGCTTCTGGTCCTTCCAGTAGACTGGATGAGGCCTTTTGGGTGCTTCAGAGTGTGACATCGGTAAGCCAAACCCATGTTCCTGTGGCTGTCTCTCAAGACTGTGATGTGATGTGATAAAAGGACACCTCCCCCAATAGTAAGAGGAAAGAGAAAAACAGAGTGAAGTGGGTTGAATTGCCCATCTGCTCAGATACATCAACAGCTAAGTGATTCACAGGTATATTAAATAAGCAGAAATGGAGTGGAATTCCAAAAGCAACTTCATTTTTTCTTTCACTGCCTCTTTAAATCTGCTTAATGGAATAGTTCTCTCCTAACCTTAGATGAAAACACGGGTAGGCTGCAGGAGCTTTCTGGTAAATAATAGCTCCTTAAAGTCACAAACAGCCTCAATTCACTGCTCATTCTTGTTGACCCTCACTGCCTATTCTGAATGGATTGAGGGGAGCAGGAAAGATTTTACAGGGACCGAATGGTGCTGTGTTGTCAGATGGGGCTTTCATTCTCTGGGCCTCACAGATGTTTCTCTCTCTCTCTCTCTCTCTCTGAATGTGTATGGGTTTCTTAGCTACTTTCCTCAGTTGATGGTGGCCAGTCTCAGAATTATCGAGTGAACTGTATCAGCCCATTACCCCTTCTTCAGCCCCTAGCAGTCTAGTGGTCCACTGCCAACTTCTCCGGTCAAGGTCCACTGGCCCCTTTAGGGCAAGACAAGCCCCAAGCCAGCTCTTTGCCACACCTGGACCACGTGTGACTCATGCCCAGGTGCGGGGGGCATGCCGCGTTCTGAGCAGCAGTGCCTGCCTCACTGGTAGAGTGGAGTCCGCCTCCATGTCTTAGCCATTGAATTTCTCAGGCATGAGTCAGATGCCAGTTCACAGTGTACCCTAACTTTTAGGGGGTGCATACAAATCTCTCACCGAAGCCCCCTTCTCCTTTGACTTTGGATTAAAGGGGAGGCCTCCTCACTTACTTTCCAGGTATGTGTGTATGTGATGTGGG